GGAGGGGAACCTGCCACTAAACGTCAAACGACTCGAACAGCACGCCTAGCAGGCTATCCCCACTCCCAGCGGCCCGCGCGCCGTGCGATTTGTGGGGACGGTAGGTTGTATATTCGGCAGCAGTAGGCCGGCCGAACGCACTTATTCGACGATCTTTAAACGTTAATATCTCGTTAACTATTCCGCAACCTACAAAATGATATAAGATTTTTCGATTCAATTCGCTCCGTTCTACCTGCTCGTGATCGATTAGCCCATAATTTTCAAACACCCTGTATATATAAAATAAGATATATTTACACAATAAAAACAAATTTACATAATTTTTGTGGAATTACATAATTTCTGTAAAATTGCATGATTTTTTATATTTACAGAACTACATAATCATGTAATCTATTTTATATTTATTATATAGGGAAAGAGACGGAATCACTAAATAATAATGAAAAATACGGATATCTTAAGGATAAAAGTAACAATTTAATATCCGCTTCGTATAACCAGAACAACAGGTCCTTTTTTCGCATGGCGACACACACTCTCGAAACTTGCAGATACCACACGCTCCACTCGGCGAGAGCCGAGTCCATCCGAAACAATCCGAAGTGAAACCGAATCGTCTCGAAGCACGCATCACACAGTCGGTAACAGCAGGGATTATCCGCACCGTCCGTTCTCGCGCCCACAGGCCAATCCTGATATGTGGACGTCCTCGACCACGCAGTCAGAAAGACAGACAGACAGATCAAATCAACAGACAGATAAACAGACAGATCAGATCAGCAGACAGATAAACAGACAGATCAGATCAGCCGGCAGATAACAGACAGATCAGATTACGCAGACAGATAAACAGATAGATCAGATTACACAGACAGGTAAACAGATAGATCAGATCACGCAGACAGATAAACAGATAGATGAGATTAGCCGGCAGATAACGGACAAATCAGATTACGCAGATAGATAAATAGATCAGATTACGCAGATAAAACGAACAGATACAAACTTTCATCTTTATAGCTATCGAAATTATATAAAATAAAAGTTGCATACTAATGTGGTTACATTAAACGTTAAACAATATAAACAGGAGAATAATACTAGTTATATGCATAAAACAAATTAAACTGTAATATCACAAACGGAAACTCTTAAAGTTAAGTTCTATGCCAACACTTCATTTGGTCGGTGCTTACCGTACTAGTGTATGGAATGCGGGTTAGTTGATGCCCGCCAATGTCTGTAATAGGTGTTAAAATGATTAGATAAAATTATTTTAATTTTATACATTTGAATAAGTTCATTTCCTATATATTTGTTTTATTTTTTGGTTCAGTTCGTTTTACTCTTGAAATATTACAACTAATGAGAATCAGCCATAATGATTTGGTACACACGTGAGACCATCTATACTTTTTCTCTTCTTTGCTCTCTACGTTATTATTATTACTATTACCTTTTTCTGCCAAAATGTGTCTGTATTAAAACCAATCCCTTTTTGCATAATAAATATCAGTTTGGATAACGTGAATCTCTCTTAGTTATGCCCTGCTAACAGGTTATGGGCCCAGTTACACAAATATAGTATTAACGTTTAGAGAATATCAAGCGAAAATTGTTCCTTTTGTATTTATCGGATAGTGTGCCGCTACGCAATGTCAATGCACGACATAATCGACTCGAGACCCTCGATGACTAAACTCAATGGTGATAATTATTTCCACTGGAAATTTAAGATGGAAATGTACCTGCGCCGAAAAAAAGTATGGACAATCGTAATCGTCAATACTGCACCCGATCCAGTAACGGCTGAGTGGGAAGATGCAAACGAGAAAGCATTAACAACGATTGCACTATGTGTGGAAGATACCCAGATACAACATATTAGAGATCTTAAAACAGCCAAGGAGTCATGGAATACATTAAAGGAAATATATGAGAAGGATTCGACAGGTAATCGGGTACACTTGTTACAATTAATCATGCAAGAGAGGTTAAGTGAAGGTGGAGATGCAGAAGCCCATGTGAGTAAAATGCAGTTCCAAAAACTGCTTGCCCTTGGTACTGAAATAAAGCCAGAATTTTTTATGTGCGGCACGTTGTTAGCTACTTCCTAGTAGTTATGACGCATTACTACTATTAGAAGGAAAGGATGAGGAACAATTAACAAGTGCGTATGTACGAGCAAAAATTATTTCAGAGTATAAGCGCAGAAAACATCGAGATGACGACAATGAAGCATCAGCACTCAAAGTTAATACAGCGAAATTGAGTGGTAGCACTGGAGGTACTGATTATAAAGGTGGCAAGAAAAGGTTTACGTGTTTCCATTGTAACAAAGACGGCCATATTTGACGAAACTGTGATGAGTACGAACAGCTACTGAAGAGTCAAAAAGGTGACACCCACAAGGCCAATGTACTTGAAAGCGAGGTCAACGATGGAGAGATGCTGTTCGCAGTAGGTGATTTGGATGATTGGATCGTGGATTCTGGAGCCACTTGCCACATCACAAGCAACAAGGAAGCATTTTTAAGTCTTAATGATGAGCATCGTGAGAAGGTCGGCGTGGCGAACGGACAAACTTTGCTAGCAATCGGAAAAGGGACCATTATTATGAATTTGAAGAATGAGAATAACGATACAATCAAAGTAAGAATGGATGATGTATTGTATGCACCGCAGGTTGGCGGTAGCTTGCTTTCAGTTCGAAGCTTGACTGAAAAGGGCTTCAAGATCAATTTCGCCGGCGATAAATGTGAAATACGAAGTGGCGATGGCGCGAAGCAATACGCTGTAGCAGATTTGCATGGAAATTTGTACAGACTTCGACAAATGCAATCGGTGAATACTGCACAAGCGAAACAACATAAGTGCGCACATGAATGGCACAGAATTCTGGGACACAGAGACATCGAAATTGTGAAAAAATTACCCAGTAGCGGCTTGGTGAATGGAATAGAGGTTGCTAAGTGCGGAGAGAATTGTAAAGAAAAATCAATATGCGCAATGTATATGAAAGGAAAGATGACCAGAATAAAATTTCCGAAAGAAACTAATAGTCATGCCGAAAATGTGCTAGATCTGATACATTCAGATGTTTGTGGACCCATGCCAACTACCACACCGTCCGGAAAAAGGTACGTGTTGACCTTTGTAGATGATTGTTCACGATATACAGTTATTTATTTACTAAAAGAGAAATCTGAAGTATTCGATAAGTTTAAGGAGTTTATTAAGTTGACACAAAATCAGTTCAATCGTAAAATAAAATTGATAAGATCTGATCGAGGTTGTGAATATATTGGTAAGGATTTTGAGAATTATCTAAAAGCTGAGGGCATTAAATATCAAAGGACAGCGCCGTATTCGCCACAACAGAATGGTGTTGCAGAGCGTCAGAATCGTACACTGGTTGAGATGGCGCGTTGCATGCTTTTCGACGCTGACTTGCAGAAGCGTTTTTGGGGAGAAGCAATTACGACAGCAAACTACTTGCAAAATCGTTTGTTGTGGAAAAATATATTAAAAACACCATTTGAATACTGGTATGGCAAACAACCAACGTACACAGGCCTAAGACAGTTCGGAGAGCGATATTACATTCGCGTCTCGGATGAAAGAAGACAAAAATTAGATCCGAAGGCTGTTCACGGGATCTTTGTAGGATATGATTCCGCATTGAAAGCTTACAGATGTTATATTCCTGAACGGGATAGAGTAATTATTTCTAGAGATGTGCAGTTTGTTGAGAAGAAATCAAACACGATATCTGGGAAGCCAACACGAATACCAGAAATGACCAGTGACCTCGTTAAAAGGGAAAATGAAGATAAGACTGATATAACAACTTCAACAGATGCATATGATTCAACCATCACCACAGACGAATTCTTCAGTAGTGTGGAGAGCAATGATGAGCAAGACGAAGAGGTACCAAGGCGTTCATTACGCTCAACTAAAGGCCGTCCACCACAGAGACTCATAGAAGAGATGAACCTTGCATTGATTGCGACTAAGGAACCGAGTAACTATCAAGAAGCAGTTACGTGTAACGAGAAAGAGAAATGGATTGCCGCTATGGAGGAGGAGATATCATGGCTCCTAGATAATGGTGCTTGGGAGCTAGTGAGCTTACCAAAGGACAGGAAACCCATTGGTTGCAAATGGATTTACAAATTAAAAACTGATGAAGTCGGACAGATAAAGAGGTATAAAGCTCGACTTGTGACTCAAGGTTTCAGTCAAAAATTTGAGATAGATTATGATCAGGTATTTGCACCGGTTATAAGATCAGTTACATTCAGAATACTTCTGTCAATAGCTATAAGAAGGAATATGAAGGTGTTACATTTGGATGCAAAAACGGCTTTTCTCAACGGCAAGTTAGAGGAAACAATTTACATGAAGCAGCCACCAGGTTTTTCAACGAATGGACACGAGAACAAAGTATGTTTACTCAAAAAAAGCATATATGGTCTGAAACAATCAGCTAGAGTATGGAACCAATCAATACACGACACGCTGACCAGGATCCGATTAAACCAGAGCAAAAATGATCAGTGTCTTTACACGATGGCGGACAACACTGGAGTAATCTATGTTCTGATATACGTCGACGATATAATATTGGCGAGTAACTCAAGTAGTTTATTGGAGTATTGCGAATCTGCATTTAAGATAGCTTATAAAATTGAAAACCTTGGAGAGATCAAGAATTATCTTGGTATGCACATCAGAAAAGATAGTGATCAGAATTGTTATTTCATTAACCAGACGGCATACATAACTCAAGTTGTAAAAGATTTACAGCTACACAGGGGAAAGATATCGGACATACCGTTGAGCACCGGAAATAGTGAATCACCTTTGTTGTTCTGAAATGAGGAATATAGAAGGATAATTGGATGTCTTTTATATATATCTGTCAACACTCGTCCGGATATTTCAGCGGCAGTATCAATATTAGCGCAAAAGGTGACAATGCCCACTGAAGAAGATTGGAACGAAGTAAAACGAGTTGTAAGATACTTGAAGGGCACAGCAAGAACGGAATTAAAACTTGGTAGCGACATGAGTGGACAACGGTTACGAGCCTACACTGATGCCAATTGGGCTGGAGACAGGCGTTCGCGACGGTCGAACACAGGCTACATCATCATGTTCGGATTGGGAGCAATTAGTTGGATCAGTAAGCGGCAATCGTGTGTGGCACTCTCTTCGACTGAAGCCGAATTTATTGCGCTGTGCGAAGGATGTCGAGAGTTGTCATGGATACGCAGAATTTTGAGTGACTTCGGGATGACATTCGAGCAACCTACTATTATATACGAAGATAACCAAAGTTGCTTGAGCATGACTCAGGAGGAGAAATTTTCAACTCGAGCCAAACATATCGACACCAAGAAATTTTTCATCAAGGACTATGTGGACAAAGGAATAGTAACCTGTAAATATTGCCCTACGGAGGAAATGATAGCGGATATATTAACAAAGCCGCTATCAAGGCAACGTTTCGTAAAACTACGTCAGGCATTAGGTCTAAATGTTTATCCAAATGAGGTGTTAAAATGATTAGATAAAATTATTTTAATTTTATACATTTGAATAAGTTCAGTTCCTATATATTTGTTTTATTTTGGTTCAGTTCGTTTTACTATTGAAATATTACAACTAATGAGAATTAGCTATAATGATTTGGTATACACGTGAGGCCATCTATACTTTTTCTCTTCTTTGCTCTCTACGTTATTATTATTACTATTACCTTTTTCTGCCAAAACGTGTCTGTATTAAAACCAATCCCCTTGTATAATAAAT